CTTTCATTGCAGCACCGTCGAAACAAGACGCGACCTAAATTATGAGGAAATTGTTTACCAATATGAAATATAACGTCACTGATAATAATGAGCTACTTCACCATTCTTCATTCACAAACTTGCCGAACAATAGCAAATAGAGGTTACTAGTAAATACACAACATCTGTCATATTAATCACTGCAGAGCTCGGCGCGGGTCAAACGCTAGCGGAATTCAATTTATTTTCGGTCTACGTTTTGATTTCCCGTGTGAATTCAGTTTTGCTTCAAAGTTGTAACTAAACAGAAAAGGGGAAAATGAGAGCGTATTGCAGAATACTGGTCTGTTGCAGTTGCAATATTAAATTCCATTTTAGCATCGGTTTTAATATTATTTCTTAACAACGCCAATTAATTCTTTAATAGATGGTAGGATCTACAAATTCTTAATACCTGGAACTTGATTTCGGTAGATATCACTCTCTTATTGTAATATTAAAAATATTACCTAGTTAAAAATTAAAAATAGGAGAAATCTATCTTTTGTATCATAAAAAACACGCCACCCAAGAAAATTTAGTGCAAAAAAGTTTATTTGTGTGTGACACAGCCAAGTCATAAACATGAATCTTTCTAATTTAAATTTGTCTTTCCCTCCACATTTTTTAACGAGCTAAATTCAAATATAATGTTTAATTGAAAAATATATGTGCGTCGGGAACATTTTCGCATTTCGGATAAAGGCCCTCGTAAGACAACCGTGAAAAGCTGCTATAACTAATTTTCTTGACTCATAGATGGGTCGAGGCAGTAGAGTTCAAGGGGGAGGCATTGGCCGTTAGTTCGGACATTGCGAAGGTCTTCGATCGGGTTAAGCAAAAAGCGCTTCTTTCGAAGTTGCCTTCCTAGGAGCTTCCTGAGAAATTGTGCCATTGGGTCACCAGTTTTCTTGCAGATTGGCACCGGTTCTAACGCGTCTTTTCCGGTACTCCTACTCCCTAGGCGCAGTCCCGAAATCATGGAAGACAGCTTTTGTCCACCCGATCACTAAAAAAGGCGACCGCTCAGACCCGTCCAACTACAGGCCTATCGACATCACCCCCTTGTTCTCCAAAATAATGGAATCCGTTATAAACTGCCACCTCATGCGGTACCTTGAGCGTCACCAGCTGATTAGTGACCCCAGTACGGTTTTTGTCGGGGTCGATCAACTGGTGATCTTCTAGTCTACTTAACTCATAGATGGGCGGAGGCAGTTAGTTTGGATATTGCGAAGGCCTTCGATCGGGTTTGGCACAAAGCGCTTCTTTCGAAGCTCCCTTCCTATGGGCTTCCCGAGAAATTATGCAATTGGATCACCAGCTTTCTTGCAGATCGGAGCATCAAGGTCGTTGTAGATGGTGCCTGCTCCGACTACAAGCCTATTTACGCTGTTGTTCCACAAGGCTGCGTGCTATCACCAACGCTTATGTTGCAAACTGGTAACATTCATTACTATGCAGATGACAGCACTTGTGATGCTCTATACACCGGCCGGCCAATATTTCTCGGTAAAACGTCGCCGAGTACCGGAACAAACTTGTGTCTGAAGTCGAGTCTATTCTGAACAAAGTCGTGAATTGGGGGGGTGACTAAATCTAGTCCAGTTTAATCCTCAGAAGACACATGTTTGCACGTTTACCATTAAAAGAACCCCTTTGTAGTATCCCCTCAGTTTCAAGGGACACCCCTTGTTGCCTACCGAAATCCTCGGCGACGGCATATCAAGTGACATGCAGTTTTGTGGTCACTTGGAAGAGAAGGTCAAATTGACCTCTAAAAAGCTTGGCGTGCTCAGCAGAGCGGTACAGTATTTCATGCTGTCACACCGCCTGCAACTTTACAAGGCGCAGATTTGACCCCACATGGAATACTGTTCCTATCTCTGGGCTCCCCAGTGCCAGCTCCTTCCACTTGACCGCATCCAGCGCAGAGCGGCTCGAATTGTCGACGACCGAGTGCTTTCCGATCGGCTCGATTAACTGGTGCTGCGAAGAGATGTTGCATCCCTTTGCATTTTCTTTCGCATTTACCACGGGAAGTGCTTACCATCACTTACCATCAAGTGAGCCGTATGCTCGTTTGCCCCCTCTCCTATAAAAAAGCGATCAACTTACTTTAAGAGATGAAGAAAGAAGTAGTCGCTCTTTGACGGCTCTTACGAAAGGAAATCTGCTAGCAGTAGAAAATCTGATTGAAAAGAATGGCCGAATTACGTATAAAGAGATTCAGCACGTTGCAAATTAGATTATGAGATTTTACACGAACACTTTCACGTAGGAGTGTAAATTAGCGTTGGGTGCCGCACAACCACACCGAAACATCAAGCAGGCACGCGTCGACCGTACCGTGACATGATTACTAAATTTCAAGCAGGCTCGTCTAGGCGTATTTACCACATTATTACAGGGGATGGATTTAGGATTTACCAATATGATTCAAAAACTGTCGTTTTTGTCGACGGTTTTGCTGCTTCAAAATAAACCAACGCCTATAAAGTAAAGCGATCGAGAAGTGTAGGAAAGATTTGGGTTGATAGTTTTATCACTTTGATTTTTACGAAATCGAAGTAGCATTAATTCCGAATCGTACATTACCAAATGCTTGCAAGAAGTGTACATTACTGTGAGCAACAAGCGACCGAGCACGAGGCTCTGTGCCCTACTGCATCACCAAACAAAATAGCCAGTGAATCGTATACCGGTTACCTACAGCTATTACAGTATATAACGTATTCGTAGCCTTTTTTTTAGTTTTTCATGGATTGCAGTGTTTCCTTTACTCAGGAACCGCTGGTCATCATTTGCGACAATTATTTTTTTGTATCCTGTGTGTATTTATTTATGTAATTTTTATGCATATTTGCCTATTTAATCTTATGTATGTCTATCATATATTTAATGTATTTACGAGTGTATGAAATATTTTGTTATTATATATCGGTTTAGTTTATTAAGTTATTAGTATGTAAGTTTACTATAACATACACCACCTCCCACTATCCAATAATAGTCAGGTAGTTGTCAGGAAGAGTTCGCTTTTTAGCGATAAGACCGCCTTATTGTACCTATCTCTTAAGTTTGACTCCTTGTAATTTGTTTTTTTTGTCGTTTTTGTGGTGTACAATTAAGTATATTAATTATAATAATAATTAATGTAGATGTCTATGGACCATAGCATCCACTTATACTGCTTAATACAGGTCTTCTCTCATTTATGCGTATTAGCGGATGTCATGTCCTCGAAATATTTATTATTTTAACTAATTTTAAACATTACCGCACGATGTTTCTCCTCTCGCCCGAGCACGTGGTATATTCGCACCTTAATTTACAATTTCATTTTCTTGTTGTCAATGTGAATCGATCTAGCTTTGTACGCGACCTATGTAGTATAAAGGCTAGCGCTTATCCTCTGAACTAACAAAGCTCATGGATCCAGATTTGACAGTAACCTAATGACAGGGTGCGTACCACGAACTCAAGAAGTGGTGGGTTCGAATCCACCATTCGAATACTGGCATGAACCACCCCTAACACAAGCATCTTAAGCTTACTAGTGGTGGTTAAAGGGAATATTAATAATGTTCATAGCATTAACAGTATTTTTTCTATTAAAAAAAGATTTAAGTACTTCTAATAGTTTGCGATATTAGATTAGACGTTTATTGGTTTTATTATTTTTTATTGATATTTCTTAACTAATTATTTATTAAAACTTGAACTTATATTTAGTGATTTATACCTTTTCATTTTCAACTGCCCGTAAAAGCTGAATACCGTCGCGTCGGTAGGCTACCGGACTAGGGACTACTGGAGGATTTTACCTATCGTAATGCTTGGCAGGCGGTTTGATGATTGCAGTACGATGTATTATGTAGTACGATGTTACAGTAGTGGACCTTGCGGATCTTTGACTCTACTACCCTTCTACCGGTTTGTGAATTTTATGCCCGGTAAAAGGATATGGTTATACACCCACCTACAGGATGCCGTAAAAAATTTCCGCCATTCCCCAAAGTCTCCTCTTACGGCACCCGCAGGAAAAATTGGGTAATGAAATCTTTACGCCACTACCACTCTTTTTTTAGAATTAGGGTGACAAACGAGCACACAGTCCACCTGACGGTAAGTGGATGCTATGGCCCATAGACATCTACATCTATCTTCAATCAAGAAGCAAATTCGTTGTTACCCTCGTTTCCAGTAAAAATGATCTCAGTATCTCTACACTCACCATACGAAACAGAGCAGCGTTAAGCTGCTATTTTACGCTGGTGTTCTGTGAGACCGTGGTCCTACGCCGTGAGCCAGCCCGTTCGCACTACAGCCATATAATATAGCTGCAGTGTGGCCCTACCACGTTCAACGCGACATTTAAACTTAAAAAAAAAACTGATAAAATATGTATATGATTATTAATGAATAATATACATATTTTATCAGCTCAATTCAAATCAAAAAAGAGGGCTATGCTCGGAGTTTCTCTGCGTGATAAACTCAGAAATGAGGATATCCGCAGCAGAACCAGAGTGACCGATATAGCCCAACGGATTAGTAAGCTGAAGTGGCAATGGGCCGGCCATATAGCTCGACGAACCGACAACCGATGGGGAAGAAAGGTTCTCGAGTGGCAGCCTCGTACCGGCAGGCGAAGTGTAGGGCGTCCCTCCACTAGATGGAGTGACGACCTGGTAAGATATGCAGGAAGTCGATGGATGCAGGTGGCTCAGGACCGTGCTTTGTGGCATTCTTTGGGGGAGGCCTATGTTCAGCAGTGGACTTGTGAAGGGCTGTAATGATGATGATGATGATACATATTTTATCAGCTCAATTAACTTACATAATATGAGTAATTTCAAAACTCTCAAATTAAATTATCCCTACGTTTTAAACCTTCAGCATCATTTTACCTCGCCTTTTACGTACCTCATAAAGACTTACTTAATATCTTACTAATTTTCATTTCTGTTTGTTTATAGTATACCTGTCTACACGAAAATTTGTTTCATTACCTGTGCGAGGAAAATGGCGGTGCCGTAACTTTGCCTGCTGCGAGGGGCGACGATGCTTGGAAAATCTACTTCAACGAGATCCCCGAGGAGATTGTAGATGAATTCGCCATGAGATATGGAATTGAGGCTATTTATCAAGCTATGACGTAAGTTTCTTCCTTATTTCAGAAGAATGTAAAGCCCCCTATAATGTAATGATAACGATTTATCTTACTGGGAATCTTCCACCGTCACCTCAAAGTCGATTTATCTAAATACTCTAAAAGATTATAATACTCAATAAGGATACTTTCTGCGTATTACTTAATAATTTATAGCCATTTGTTCTATTTGGTTTTAAACCGACTTCAAAAAAGAGAAGGTACTCAATTCAATTGTATTTTTTTTTGTGTGTTACCTCATAACTTTTTTCTACTCGAACCGATTTTGATTAATGTTATTTTTTTATTTGAAAGCTGGTGCATTTCATGTGGTTTCATATAAATTTGATCAATGTCTATCCATTAGTCTTTTTTATAGGATAAGGGTGACAAACAAGAGGTGACCAACTGATGGTAAGTGGCTGCTGTGGCCCATAGACATCTACATCAATCTTAGATTACGAATCAAAATGCAGATGCGTTGTCACCCGTGAGGACTAAGATGGAATGCCTCGTTTCCAGTAAAAAGGGGTCTCCGGTTCTCTACACTGACCATACGAAACACAGCAGCGTTAAGCTGCTATTTTACGCTGGTATTCTGTGAGAGCGTGGTCCCTCCCCGTTCGAGCCGACCCATTCGTGCTACAACTATACCAGTAATATAGCTGCAGCATGGCTCTACCACGTATTAGTTTTTGAGGAACCCTCAATAATTTATATTAAAGTCAGTTGTACAAAGTTTTAATATTACCACTTGTTTTGTTACTGTATTATGTTTGATTATTTACATTTTAAATGTTAATTACAGACATTTCCATTGTCTCTCAACAAAATACCTCTGTGCCGGCGTACCAGCTGTTATGTCGACGCTTCTTGCCAACATTAATGCATATTATGCACACACAACCGCATCGTCAGCAGTTTCGGCGTCAGATCGATTTGCTGCGTCCAACTTTGGGGTAAGTTTTAACTTAAACATTTAAATTTAAAAAACTTAAAGTTACAGTCTATATACGTTCCACTGCTGGGCACAGCCCCCTCTCATTACTGAGAGGGTTTTAGGGCAAGGAAATGTCCGCCGCGTTGCCCCAATGCGTGTTTGCAAACTTCACATGTCTGCGAATTTTTATTTCTTATTTCTCAGACATGCACGTTTACTAGCGTTTTTTCCTTCACCGCTCAGCACGTGGTAAATCAGCACCAAAATTACAACTAACAATTTCATTGGTGCCGTCGGGGATCGAACCTGGGTTGCTCGCGTACTGTAAAATTTAGAGCGAGAGCTAACCATCTGAGCTACCACAGGTCTTCTGAGCTCTCACGGCAGCGTCTTACGTAGCGTAGTAAGCGTAGCAACAAAGCCAACCCTTCCCCCCCCCCACCTCTCCTTGCTATGAAGCCATCTTTAGGGGAGGCCTATGTTCAGCAGTGGTCTTTGATAGACTGTAAAGTCACAACGGTAACTATATTCTTTTTTCTTGATTTTATTTCGTATTTTATTTATACACTTGTTCTAATTTATTATGGCAACAAATGGTTATTCAACGTCAACGGGTGACACGACCCGGAGTGGTTAGCACTCTCTCGCATCCTCAATGGTAATTTTGCTTAACTGCGAGTGAATTTACATTCTAAAGCAGGAATTAGGTCAACTTTTTATTCAGTTATATAATAAAATTTATTTCGTAATATCTCTTTTAGATAAATAAAAAACTTCTTATGAGAGATATAATTTTAATGGATTGAATTCACTCTAAAGCAATTTTAGGTTTAAAATTTCTTCAATAGGAGACAATGCTCCATTAAAATCATAGCAAAAACATTTTATAAATATATATTTTGTCCACTAAACATCACAACGAAATTTAAAAATCCATCGCAACTATTGATGAGAAATACGTTCTATTAAAATGATTACCATCATAAAAGTCATTACAAGCATAAAACGTTAAAAGAAAGTAAAAAAGCTCATACTTAATACAGCATTTACTAAAGATAATGTCGGTTTTAACGCGTTTTACAATAGCGATCTCAAATAATAATTTCTCATAACCACCCCGCTGACAATCTACGTCCTTGATATATTTTATTGTAATTATATTCAAAAGCAGCATTAAACTTTGGCATTTTATCACTAATACAATTGCTTTATGTGAATTAAGTTAAGAGTTGTGTGTCTATAATGGTCAGACTTATCATTAGAGCCTCCAAAATGTAGCCCTCGGCGCATTAGGCATAACTTTAAATGAATGACTTGTTTAATTACCTCATGTTTTACGGGTTTCACTTACAATGCTCTGCCCTACTGTCAGAGTAATTTTAAGTTTTATTGTGTAACCAACATAAAAACATTTCATGAAATGTTGTGAACAGTACATGTAAGTAGGTCAAACCGAGCTTAGATCATTTTTATGCTTTTTAAAATTTTATATATCACCAACTCCTTTCAGACTTTTTTATTTAATAACTGCTCTTAACTGCTTTATTTTTTGCGGAAACAATAAAACAAAAATATATTTAAAAAAAAATTGTCACATGCAACAAAATAAGGGTGTTGTAGCTTTAGCTCATCCACAGATACTGGTCGATAAAACGTTCAATCACCAATCGACAATTAATCGATGTGATTGTGGGCTCAACAAGGCGCAGGTTCGGCCTCACATGGAATACTGTTCCCATCTCTGGGCTGGGGCTCCCCAATGCCAGCTCCTTCCACTTGACCGCATCCAGCGCAGAGCGGCTCGAATCGTCGACGACCGAGTTCTTTCCTATCGGCTCGACTCATTGGCACTGCGAAGAGATGTTGCATCTCTTTGCATTTTCTTTCGCATTTACCACGGAGAGTGCTCTGAGCAATTGTTCGGATTAATTCCAGCCGCCAAATTTCACGAACGCACATCGCGGCAGAACTCCCGATTCCATCCACACCATCTGGATGATTGGCGGTCCACCACTGTGCGATTTAGAGGATGTTTTCTTCCTCGCACAACTTCCTTGTGGAATAGTTTACCACCAGCGATTTTTCCGGACCGATACGACTTAGGGACCTTCAAGAAAAAAGCCTACTCCTTTTTAAAAGGCCGGCAACGCATCTGCAATTCCCCTGGTGTTGCGGTTGTTCATGGGCGGCGGTAGTCACTTACCATCAGGTGAGCCGCATGTTCGTTTGCCCCCTCTCCTATAAAAAAAAATCAGTATCTTTCAAAATGTATTTAGAAGATGACGCGTTATTTTGGCCAGTGCGCTCTTGCTTGTATTATTATTACGGACACGGATAAGCAGAAGACTCTGAATGCGACCGTTTTTAAGGCTAGAGATCGAAATAGGGAGCAGTCGGTGGATCGGGGCGGGTTCTCGAATTATTAAGCAGCTTAATCGACATCGTCTAATCCATCCTACCATCGATCGATCGGTGCGACAGAAACATTCGACCGGCGTAGACTAATCCATTCCACCATCGATGGATACCATTGATCGACGATCAATCGATTGGTGTGGTAACAACACCCTAATACAAAGACTTGGATATTGGAACATTTAAATTTTGACTTATCTTATGCATCTTATTCTAATCCACACAATAACAAAAAGATCTGTTTTTTTTTTTAAATCACTAAATCATCTTTTAATATAAATTAATTAAAATGTCGGGGTTAACGGATAAAAATACCATAAGATTTTAAATTGTTACCCTTATTGACTTACAATTGGCGGGTGTAAATATATATATATTTAATAAATAAATATGTTAAATAATAATGGACATCTTGTATACCGACTGAAATAAGATGTCAAATGAAAAAAAAATTGCGTGTCAATCAGTATGTAATAAAAACTTATTAAGATTATAATTATAATTATAAAGAAAGAGTGGATGCTCCACGACTTTATCTGCCAGTAGGGCGGCGCCACTAGAAAGTGTGGTATAATATTTGACGGGGAAGTTAATTTGTTCGGAAAATGTAAAGGTTATTGTTTCTTTTTGCACTGTTAGCTATATTTTATATTAATAAGATAAAAAATAAATAAACCAAACCACAGATATTCATAAAAGTAGAAAAATGAAAAAAAAAATTAAAAAAGTGCAAAAAATTAAAGAGCAAACCACTGACGCATTGTTTTGTATATTAATTTAATAATCTAGAAAGTGATTAACTTTTATTAAAAACCAACTTCTCAATTAAATTACACTGTGTTAAAAAAAACTTTACCTCAGTGTCAACTAGCGACATCTGGTGAGCAGAAAATTATTAGGCCTCATTTGGGACGTTGTGCAATTTTTCGGCCTTCTAAAATTACTGTCATTTACAGATTTGAGTTCTGATCTTAAATTCCATCTAACTTATATTGCATCAAATTTTACCTTCAGTCGTCTGTAGAATCGTTTGTTAACAATGGAGCTGAAATACTCATTTTGTCTTAACAAAGGAAGGATAAGAATCAATAGGAATAATAGTGAGTGCAAAGCACAAACGGAAATTCGTTTCAAATTTGTTTCTATAACATACTATGTGATTTTATACTTCAGTGAACTTTTAAATAGCTTAAAAAATGATAACAATTTAATTTAATAAAATTCTTCAATAGGTAACATATAGAATATTGCATACATAGTTAGACCCTTAGGTATTGAATTTGTCTTTAAATTTACATGGAATTAACTAAATTTGATCATTTAAATCAGTTCAGCTGTTTTAGAAAAATCGGGGAGCATATATTAACAATAAAACATAAACGTCCATATAGAACTTTCTCGTCTTTTGAACCTATTGTTGTATCATCATGAAACATAACATAACTCATCAATTTTGAAGCGTACGATTTTTACCCATATCTCGGAAACTTTTACACCATACAGAGGAATTGAACAATACAAAATTTTACTGAAACAATTTTTATATCACTCATTATTTTTATCGTTTTCAGAAAGAAAAGTTTGTAAAGTTGCTAGATCAGCTACACAACTCCTTAAGGATAGACTTGTCAATGTACCGAAACAACTTCCCAGCATCCAGCGCCGAAAAATTGATGGATCTCAAATCCACCGTCGATTTGCTTACCAGCATTACATTCTTTAGAATGAAGGTATATATTATCGTCTCTTATTGAAATAATATTTTATTTTATAAATAAAAACTATGTGATACCAGGGGTAAATTACATCGGGAGATTTTTTCATGCAACTTAATGAAGTATCAAAATTTTTGTACGTATCAATACCACGCTGCAGTTTTTTTTTTTTATAGCTGCAACACGAATAGGGGTTCGATCGGGAAATGACCATCTCACAGAACTCCAACGTAAAATGCAACATAATGCTGATATATATATATATATATATATATATATATATATATATATATATATATATATATATATATTATATATATAATGCAATTGACGGCTCCGTGGCGCAGTGGCTTAGCAATCAGTTGTTGCGCTGGGAGCCGCGGGTTCGAATCCCGCACAAACGGAACAAGTATTTGTATGGTCTACAAATAATTGTTCCGGGTCTGGATGTTTGTCCTTGTGCAATTTATGTTTGTAAACTGCCTCCACGACACAGGAGAAAATCCTAGCGTGGGGGTGACGTTTTCTTAAAAGAAAAAGAAAAAAAGAATTAGGTAGTTTTGTATTGTGTAATGTCTTTAGTATAGCTGAACTGAATATATATATATATATATATATATATATATATATATATATATATATATAAATAAATAAACCTGAGTAAACTCATTCAAACAACAAGCTATGTATTAGGATAGACAATACAATATAAAAAATAAAAACAGAACAGCCATGGAGGATATAGATGCCGTGGGCTATAAATCTAGGTAAAACAGTGTTATACTATGTAGAAAAACGGTTTGTCACCGCTGGCGATCATCAAGCGAACTCACCCTCACATATATAGACTTTAAGAAAGTTTATTGGAGGGTTGGACGATTTATGTAGTGTCCGTGTAACAAGCAATCTCTTTTGTCCCCATATTCTTAAATGGTATTTTAACATTGATTGATTAAGCGTCCATATCTATTTATGCATTGTTTTTATTTTACAAGGTCCAAGAACTTAGCAGTCCACCACGCGCGAGTACCGTTGTTAAAGATTGCGTAAAAGCTTGCCTCAGGTCTACGTATCAATTCCTGTTCGAAAACTGTTACGAGCTTTATAACAGAGAGTTCCAGGTATGTTGTTTTTAATTTCAAAAGGGGAATAGTTCATATGAGCTACATTTATTACACCTTTTGTGAATTATCGAGCGAGATGTAAATTATAACAAAAGCAAATTAAATGTGTATGTAAAGCACAAAGAACTGATTTTATATCAAATGATCATCTACTTAGGTGGATATTCCCTAACAGCCACATTAACCGGTAATCGCCTTAAACGCTACTTGTAATACTTGTAATAGATATTATAAGTATAGTAATTTTATTGTGTTAATAATCTAAAAAAATTCGAGATCTTCAATCACACACTTGGGTTGACTTTGTATTTTAATCAATTGTTACAGGTATCGTATAAAACTCCGAAATTCCGAACCTGGTTCTATTTTTACTTGTGTATTCTGTGCAGTTTGATAAAAAATAAGCAACTTAATTAAAAACATATAGAGATTAGAACAGGGAATCACTAACTAATTATAGTCGATTAGAACCATCACACTTTCGACTTTTTGGCATAAAGTTTTAATACCGTTAAATAAATTGTGTGAATTCCTAATATGGTGTTATTAAAACTTAGCTTATTTAACCTTGACTAAGGTAGTACAATACAACTCCGAAATGTAATTCCTTTAAATAACTTTAAAACTCCACTTTAATTACATTATTTTATTTATTTCATAATATTTTTACTCTTGTGACTGTCGCCTGCCTATTTTTAATTGTTAATTAAATTATTTTATGTACAACATTTTACGACATAAATGACTTCTACGCCCAATTTCATTTGTATCCTATTAGCATTTACAGTATTAGTAAGATTACAGAACAATAATATAAAGTTATCGTTTTCAGGTTGATCCTAATGAAGCTAAGCGTGATCCGTCTGACCACGGACCTCAATTAGATTCGGTAGACTTCTGGCACAAACTAATCGCTCTCATTGTATCTGTGATCGAAGAGGATAGAAACAGCTATGCGCCCGTTCTTAATCAGTTCCCGCAAGAGTTAAACATTGGTCAGGTATGGTGTAAGTCTAAAATAAGAATGAAATATTTGCTCCAAAATATTGCTGATATTAATAAGAGTACCTAAAAAGTAAAAATAGAGAAAAATTACTGCCTTTAAACGTCCTACTGCTGGGCTCAAATCTCCTCTCAATTCTGGGAGAGCTACAGAGTAATCATAAATTAGCGATGATACCATATTTAAAATTAATTTTAAAAAATGCGTGAGTGTCGTGGAACACTCGGTTGGACGAAGTTCCTTGTGTAGTATATTATTATTGATAAACGTAAGTATTATATTATTGATTAATTAATAATACTTTGTTAATTATTTGTTAATACAAATAAATGAATTACTAGCGTCTATTAAAATGAAGCGTCATTTGAAATAAAATAATATTTCTTACATGGCAAGATAAGAAAAAGTGCGAGGGAGATGGAAATTATTCCATCTCACAATACTATGACACAAGGGGTAGTGACGAAAAAATATTACACATTTGTCGCCTAGCTCCCATCCGCCAAAACCGTACCGTCCGATAAGGAACTTCGGTCCAAAAATAAATATTTTGTTAGATCATGAGAAAATTAATTTGGTGGTTAAAACAATAAAATACTTGTCTTCTTATAGCAAAGTATAATAAGCGATCTAACAGTCCACCTGAGGTTAAGTGACTTCGACAGCCTAACCTAACACCCTTTTCAAACAAAGATGTCACAGATGCGTTGACACCCTTAAGGACCAGCATGAAACGTCTCAAAGCCCATTACCATACACCTTTACATTTTAACCGAAACAGCAGTAAATTCACTATTATAATACTGGTGGCACAAATAGATAATAAGGTGATTACAATAAAGACAGAATACTAAGTAGCAAAGGAGAAAATTTCACTATTACGTTATTGTTTCAGTTGTCAGCAGCGACCATGTGGTCACTTTTTGCTGTTGATATGAAGTACGCGTTAGAGGAACACGAACAGCACAGGCTATGCAAGTCTTCCGCTTATATGAATCTGCATTTTAAGGTAAATGAATATTATAATTTAAAATTTAAAATTATGTACAGCCGACTTCAGTATAAGTTATTAAGAATAACTCAAAAACTATTGGTCTGACCTTGATCAAATTCATGTGGAACCACACGAGATGTATCAGCTTTCATATAAAAGAAGAATCATTGAAATCGGTTCACCCGGTAAAAAGTTATGAGGCAACACACATAAAAATTAAAAAACAAAAAAAAACAGTCGAATTGAGTACCGTCTCGTTTTTGGAAGTCGGCATAAAATTACGTACTAGGCATGATTTCAAACTAATATACCAATGATGATGACAGTAATTGATTTAGGCAACGTCGACAATTTTTTAATACCAATGGATATTTAGCTGCACAAGAAATAAAATAGTGCCCAAGTATCCGCACTAACATAGAGGTACGCATCCTACCCAAGCTCTGCCCAATATAACTCATAGCGATAAGATTAGAGCTAGGTTACAATGTAATCTCAGAAATACGTAGACAATCACGCCACGACCCAACAATTTGTGTTTTAACAAATGTCGGTTCCAGTTAGGATCAGAAACCAGTGACGGTAATGATAATAACAATAACGATACCGCCGTGGATCTTCCTGTTGTAGAACCGTATTAATAACGTTACTCACCGACGAACTCAAGTACGTAATCATATGATACGCCCTCATTACGATATCAGCATCTCAAGATCGTTGCTAATTAATAAACACATAAAAACTTGCACTCAAGTACACACACTTGAGAGTCGAGTTTCGTTTATTGATCAGTGTGGCACTCAGCTGATATCGTAAACCTAAACCGTATCTTAAGATATGTTTATTAATAAGATCATAACCTAAAGATTGTACTCAAGTGCGTGTACTTGAGCTGAGTAACGTTTATTAATACGGGCCGTAGTAAGTTCAGACGATGATGGAATAATCGCCCATGAACTTGGGTATCGTACAAATATATAATTTATGTTATAAACAACATATTCATGCACAAATTAACATAAAAGTAATTTGAACTAAAATAAGGAACATCTTGAATAACAATTGTTAATAATCCTATTTCTTGTTAATAATGAGAATCAACGTAATATTTGTTTGTTCATTTTTAAAATAGGTGAAGTGGTTACACACAAATTACGTTAAAGACGTGCCTCCATACTGCGGCGCAGTGCCGGAATACCCAGCTTGGTTTGAACCATTCGTAATGCAGTGGCTGAACGAGAACGATGATGTGTCTCTAGAATATCTAAACGGAGCCTTCAACAGAGACAAGAGAGACGGGGTAAGTGACGAAATTCTGGTGCTAAAATATAACCATTTCTTATTTGTTTGCTTGAGTTTTGGTAATAAAAATTAATACTATATTTTTACTTTTAATCGTTAAAACTAATGAAATTTAAATATTTGATCCAAAGCTCTGCTTCGATATATTATCTCCGATTATATTTTTAATTCTAGTATTATTATTACTATTTCTAAGATGGCTACATAAGAAATTAAAATTCTTCTTTCTAAAGAAAGAATAGAAGAATAAATTATTATTCTTGTATTCTTTTTTGATGTTTGCGTGAGCTTGATTCTTTATCTAAAAACCAGTTTGCTTCACCTTAGTTTAAATTTTTCAGTTCCAAAAATCTAGTGAACATGCATTATTCAGCAACTCCGTGGTTGACGTATTCACACAACTGACTCAGTGTTTCGACGTAGTGTCTAAGCTCGAGTGTCCAGATCCAGAAATTTGGAAGCGGTACATGAAGAGGTTTGCAAAAACCATCGTAAAGGTTCTCGTAGCTTATGCTGATATTGTTAAGAAGGAATTTCCCGAGCATTTGAAAGAGGAGAGAGTAGTGAGTATATGCTCAATTCTACTTTTTATAAAGATAAAAAAGTATGTATATTATAAATCAAATAATAAGTTTTGGGAAGGACAAAAATTTGGTAGTTTGTTTTTTTTTTATTATTATTAAACTTTTAATAAAAAAGTACAAACCAACTTGATGAGATAAAAACTAACAGAGTGTCGTCTAAACACTAGCATAAATATCTAATAAGCTTCTAAATCGTTATCTTCTATTATTTCACCCTGAGAAATGGATTTTTTTTTAAATTTATATTAGATTACCCCTGACGTACAACTCATTTAATAAAAAAGAATAATTTATAAACGGTTCAGCAGTTTCCGAGAAATCGTTTAATATACAATTAAAAAACACACTCGAATGTAGAACCTTTTCGGTCTTTTAATTTGATTAAAAATACTGCAAACTAGTATCTTTACTAGGTACATCTGAATTTATGAACTAATCAGAATATTTTGTAACACTACAAATATAAATGCAGCAGGACTCACACTTTAATTACAGGTTCCACTCCGATCTCTCAAAGACTTCAAACAGTACAACAATGTTGTTGAAAATAATAAATGTTCTATTTGTTAAAATGAAAATTAATTTCCAGGCATGTATTCTAATGAACAACATACAACAACTTCGCGTGCAACTAGAAAAGATGTTCGAGGCAATGGGTGGTACTAAATTAGAACGAGACGCGGCGGATATTTTGCACGATTTACAGCAGAGTTTAAACAGTACACTGGATGAGCTTGCGTCTATGTTTGCTAACAGGTAAAGTTATTTAGTCTTTATAATTTTTCCATAGAAAATTAAATAGTTAGTAATAGTGGTTATTATTAAATTAACACTCAGGGCTGATTCTTCAATCGTTAGATAAGTTATCGATTTAATAAATTATAACGTGACTAAATGTAATTTTTAATTTGTTTGTGTTGTGTTTTATTTTATGAATAACTTTTATCTCGGGATTGCAAAATTGTCCCTTAGTGTTTCTAATTATTTTATTAAGTAAATAACTTCAATTAGAGCAACAGCTTTTTTTTATTTCGACTATTGTTGTGGAAAATCTCGTGATTACATTTAAAAGTCTAAATGTATTCATTGTTCTTGAATTGACCAAGAACACTATGAACAGTAGCAATCCTTTTCATCTCATTCTTACATACGTCGAGTAGACCAAAATTTCTCCACAATACGGAAAATAATAAACTTAAACATTAACGAAAATCTCCAAAATTTATAAGAAAGTGCTTTCTTATAAATTCCGGTATTCGGTAGGTACATCGAGCCAGTTAGTGTGTTACTAATACTTAGTAATGAATACTAAAAATTTGCAATAACTCTACTCCACAACTTTATTAACAGGTATTTAGTTAAAAATTAAAATAAGTCAAAAAAATTCTTTTGTTTACTCTCAGTCTGGAGGTTCGCATTACAGCAAGTGTAAAGGAATTAGGGGAACTGTTACAAAAAGTGGGAGGTGGAGGAGCGCCTGGAGCTCCACAACCACCTGCACACCATGAGGCAGATGAGGTGCTTCGTCCCCTAATGGATATCCTGGTAAGATACATGATTTCAATCTAATTTATTTGTGAAAATCATTTATAAAAATTATAATTTTAATAAGAACGAAATACAGACTAAAAACTAAAATACAAAATAATATAGACATAAAAGCTTTTAAAGTCAGTTTTAAACATATCAAAGAGTGCCTCAAGAAAAAAAGCCTAGACTTCAGAAGCAACTGTTTAAATAATTTTTTTTTTGTTTTTAGTTTTTGCAAATACTTTTTACTTTTATTAAAGAGCATTTTTACCTTTTGATTGACATCTAAATCGCAACATTAAAACTTAATTCCCTAATTTTCTAGTCTTAGTAATGGAATGTTTTTTTTTTAATTATTTGGGACAAATCGTTACCCTTAAACCTATTTAATTAAAGAAGAATAATTTAAATCGATTCGGCCGTTTCCGAGAAATCGGTTAAAATCATCCTTGTTTTTCGAACTCTGTTAAAAAAGGTAAACACTGGAGATTTAACGAAATAAATGTCTATTTTTGTATAGTGTAGTACTAACCTAAAATGTATACAATACTATATAGAAAAAGATGCAAGGAGAAAGGGCCTTGATATAGTAATTAAATGCATTTTTTTTATAATTTACTCTGGTCTCAATTTTCTTAATAGATTTCTACCTGTATACTACTCGTATATATACTGTCATAACGATATCTCTGGAACCTTTGGTTGCGGAGGCGTTAATTAAAAAAAAAACACACTTTCAAAAGCGAAGCGGGGGCAGATCGCTAGTAGATTATACAGCAAACAAGTAATAGAAAAATAAACCTTTAGCATTAATCAACTTATGGTTATTATTTAATATATCAAATCTACAACTACAGTTTCTGTCTTTTAATAACCATACACCTTAATGCGACGCAGAGAACTTTTATTAGCCACTTAAAATTTTAATCACAACAGTAATAGCTTCATTATTAATAATATAACAATTCAAATAATTACATTATAGTTATTTCATAGCATAGGTAAAATAATTTTTTTTATCAATATTGCAAAATTATAAAACAATCACTTTAGAACCAGTAACCTCATAAATACTCTTTACTTGCAGGATGGCTCATTAACTATGTACGCTGAATCTTGCGAAAAGACAGTGCTGAAGCGGTTGCTCAAGGAGTTGTGGAAAATTGTTATGAAAATATTGGAAAAAACAGTTGTGCTTCCACCCATGACTGACAAAACGGTGAGTGTCGAATTATAGTCAAATTTTATGGTAGCTTATAAATTTTAATTTAGTGAAGCGGTTGTTCTAACTCTGTGTTTATTTATCAGATGATGCTGAAAAATCTAACAAACAATGCAAAGAACCTTGCGGCGAATGCGAAAATAGAAGATATGACTCAACTTTTTAAGAGCACGGTCGGGAAACAAGATGTGAAGCATGCGCTCTCCGGTGTAATGGATATCTCTAAAGAGGTAACATATTTTTTCGCAAAATGCACAGGGCATTTTTCCCTACTGAGAAGCTTTTAGGGCAAGGAAGTGTCCGCCATACTGCCCCAATGCGTGTTGATGGACTTCATGTGTCTTCAAAATATTTGTTTTATATTTTCTATTATTCATTAAAACATAACGTCTATAGCTATTCATACGTGCCAGTGTCGTCAGTGTTATTACTATAATCCATCACACCATCTCATCCTGTGGGTGACAGACACCACAGGAGAAAAAGTCTGCCCGGCATAACTCGTCGTTGTGTGGTAGAGCCATGATGCAGCCATTATCCTAGACCCATGTCCAACTGTAAAAGAAATTGCACTTTAAGAGGCTTATACCAAAACGTCGTTCCTTGATAATCTCGATATGAAATAAAGAGTCTTTGTAACGAAAGAAGTTCCTTAGCCGCAGTGTCTTCTCGAATTTTGACATTTACTGTGAAATTGCACACATTACATGTATTTTATGTTTTTAAAATTTCCTTTGTATTTCATAGCAACACACACACAAACACACACACACACACACACACACACACACACACACACACACACACACACACACACACACACACACACACACACGCGCGCGCGTATACTTAAGTAAATAAACTAAGAATAGAATTAATATAGAATTTAAGTAATATATAACATTAATATGGATATAGAATATGTTTATCCATACTAGTTTTTAAGGCATTTACTTTTTAAAAACGAAATAAAATTTATTTATTTATTATTTATTATTATTATTATAGCATTTATCAGCCGAGAAGAGTCTAACACCGAAGCAGTGCGCCGTTCTCGACGCCGCCTTAGATACCATCAAACTCTATTTCCACGCGGGAGGCAATGGTCTCAAGAAAACCTTTTTGGAGAAAAGCCCTGAGCTGCAGTCTCTGAGATACGCACTTAGTCTGTACACGCAGACTACTGATACGTTGATAAGAACATTTGTTACGAGTCAACAGAACCAAGGTTTGATTATTTAAATATAAGTATGTAATTTATTAAACCGTCAAAACATTTCAAAGTAAAAACCTGGCGCATGTTTAAAGTAAGATTATAAAAATCTACTAAAGAAAAGTGTTAATACCGTCATACAATCCCATATTGGTCTAGGACTGTAACAAAAAACTACTAAGGCTAGTGGGCATTGGGTTTGTGATTGAATAGGCGATGGGCTATACTCATTCACTGCTCTTTCGACGATGCGTGCCGCCTAGGGATAACAGCAGTTTAAATACAAAAGAAACATTGAGTTATATGTACTACGTACTTAGAGAAGCCATTCTAAACAAAAAAATGTGCACTACTCTATGTCATCGCGCATGCACGAAGACTTTAATCTATAATATAAAAATGAATCGCTGAATGTGTTGCTAAGCGCAAATCTCATAAGCAGCTGAACCGATTTCGCTAATTCTTTTTTTTTTAATATTCCTTGAAGTACGAAGATAGTTATTACAGCGAGAAAATTTCTAAAAATTGCCTGAAAAAGTATAAAAACAACACTTTTCTATATTCCCATACTAAAGATTAGTAATAATACTTAAAAGTCAATTTGAACTTTAATACCATACAATAAAGTTTAAGTGTTAGTGGAGAGGTTCCGGGAAGGCAAAACAATTATAATTTTTATTTATGACATTTGTTGACTTATCAACTCTATTTTTTCTTTTTTTATGTAACTAGCTGACCCGGTATCCTGAATAGCAGAATAAGTATTAAAAAAAAATTAAAGAATCGACTGTTAGGCGGTACAAAGTTCGCCGGGTCAGCTAGTTTAATATAAAATAAGATATTAATATAAAATAAATATAAGAATATAATATAAAATACTCTTATTTTAATCTAAACAAACATATTTCTAAATAAAATGTAATAATAATTATCTTATGGCTTTCACAAATTTTCAATTTACGCAATATTTAGTTTAGTGTACGGATTGCAGTACAGTTCAGCTGAACATAGTGTATGTTCGGAATGCGAAATCTAGTACGTAGTACATATATATCGATGAAAAGGAAATAATATAAAAAATAAGTTTATATCGTCCACGCCTAACTAACTCATAATTTTGTTTTAAATGATGAATATTTTAATAAAAATCGAAGTGAAATAAACGTTCCGCACATTACTGATTGACATGAATTTAGATGCGGCAGTAGCGGAAGAGGGCAGCGTGGGAGAAGTGTCCCTTCAAGTGGATCTTTTCACTCATCCGGGAACTGGAGAGCACAAGATCACTGTCAAAGGTAAGAACTTACAATGCCACTAATTAGGGTTTCGTCTTATTTTTCCTCAGTCCGTAATAGACCACAGCTGGACATGGGCCTTCTATTATCATATTATAGGGTAGATTTACCGAAATCTATCGCAATACCTGTAATTTGTAACATTTTACATCTGGCATACACTAGTGATACTGTTACTGCCATCTATCGGAAGCAATGATATTTTTCGACCATTTCCAGTAGTCATCACTTACGACACCCACGGGACGTAACGGAGTGATTGATCCCCTTATAAAAGGATCCCTTTTCGCTGTACAGTGGTGGTGTAAGAGAATCAACTACATAACATCACCCCATGCGTGTCATAGAAGGCAACAGAGTAAGATAAAATTACAACAAGAAAAAAAATAACGATTCAAAATGTGTACCATTGAGTTTACGACACTATATAATACGATAAATATACAATAGAGTCATGATGACAATGATGACGGTAAAATGACCACTATATCCAGCTTTAAATAATAATTGTTACAAACACCATATGACTTTATCAAAATGCAGCAGTGCATCCACTGCTATGATCCGGCTTAAAGGATAAGAGAGCTAGTTAATTACTGGCGGCATACGTTACCGGAAATGACAACGAATCTTTGGCGCCCTTTGTTTAAGTCGATTGCAAAATCATTTGTCACTTTTACATTGCTAAAAAAGATATTTGAAATACAACCAACAATTATTGTTCCAGTGGTCGCAGCTAACGACCTGAAGTGGGTTATCGCCAGCGGCATGTTCCGTCCATTCATTGAGGTGAACCTAATCGGTCCTCATCTCGCGGATAAGAAGAGAAAATTCGCCACCAAGTCAAAGAGCAACAACTGGAGTCCAAAGTTCAATGAGACTTTTCATTTGTAAGTTTCTTTTTTTTATCGCAATTAACTAAAGTTTTAAACCCGAAGAATATAACAAGTCTGTTCTTTATAATATCCGTAGACTATTATCATGAATAGATTGTACTTGAAAGTTAAATAGTTGGACGTGAAATGCAAAATTGTTTTCATAACAATATCAATAGATTTCATATGACAATAAGTCTATTTACTACGTCTTATATAATATTTTTAAGCCGTACGTTCAGACATTATTTCCAAATACGATATTGAAGTATATTCAATATATTATGTGAAAATTATCATTCAACGACACAGTAGAGATACCGTGCCGTGGCGATAATATAGAGCGTTCGTGCCTAGACTAGGATAGACAACAATTTACATTTATTATATCGTTCTTACCTACTTCACCTACATCGTGAAAAGGAAACATTGATAAACAATGTTGGTTATCTCTAAAAGTAAAGTGAAAGAAGCTTATTATTATAGTTACAACAACATTCGATATCCTAAAAGAATATCCAACCAATTTTTTTTTTCTTTCTTTCATGTACATATTAATAAATATTCAATAACAACATATTAATATACATTTATTAATTAGGTATTAACCAATGATTTCAAAAGGAAATATATAAGTCAATGGTGTTAACATAGATTTTTATTACGAACCTATACAAATAAATAAAATTGAAGTGTCTGTTTGTAATTTCAAAATAATAACTTTTTACTAAATGCATATGAAAGTATATACTTATATATTTATTTAGTAAAATATGTATACGGTACTTATAACAAGAAAACAATTTAAAAAAATTCTGTCTTTCTGTTTATTTTCGGATAAGCTCCGAAACGACTGGACCGATTTTGATGGGACTTTTACTGGTAGATAGCTGATGGTATAAGAAATAACTTCAGCTGCGGAATTGGCACCGGTTGTAACGCGTCTTTTCCGGTACTCTTACTCCCAAGGCGTAGTCTCGAATTCATGAAAGACAGCTTTAATCTACCCAATTTCGAAAAAGGCTACCACTCAGACCCGTCCAACTACAGGCCTATCGCCACCAGCTCCTTGTTCTCCAAAATAATGAAAATCATTATAAATTGCCAGGTCATGAGGTACCTTGAGGATAATCAGCTGATTAGTGACCGCCAATACGGTTTTTGCCAGGGTCGAGGCATTGGCCGTTAGTTTGGATATAGCGAAGGCCTTCGATCAGGTTTGGCAAATAGCGCTTCTTTTGAAACTCCCTTCCTATGAGCTTCCCGAGAAATTGTGCAATTGGATCACCAGAATCGTCGGTCAACAACCAAGTTCTTTCTGATTGGCTGGCGCTGCGAAGGGATGTTACATCCCTTTGCATTTTCTTTCGCATCTACCACGGGAAGTGCTCTGAGAAATTGTTCAGATTAATTCCAGCCACCAAATTTCACAAACGCACATCGCATCAAAACTCACGATACCATACACACCATCCGGATGCTTAGCGGTCCACCACTGTGCGTTTTACCAGCAGTTTTCTTCCTCGTACAACCTCTGTGGGATTGTTTACCACCGGCGATTTTTCTGAATCGATACTAAAAGATTTCTAAAAGACCGGCAACGCATCTGCAATTCCCCTGGTGTTGCAGTTGTTCATGGATGGCAGTAGTCACTTACCGACAGGTGAGCCGCATGCACATCGTTGCACCATCTTCTATAAAAAATATAATATATAAACCAAATTACATTCACAACAAAATATTTGCCATCGACATGATATAAATGTATTGCAAAACGACTTCAAATGATAATATTTTTGTATAAACTTTTTTCTTTTATTTTTGTAGCAAACACATGTATTGCAAGACATTTTGAACAGTTCTTGGAACTTCAGTTTTTTGGAAGCGTGATTTTCAGCTGAGAGCTATATTTTAAGCAATAATCGCAGCTTGCTTAAAATACTTGCTGTGTACATGCTGTAAAGATAGCTAATATTAATATATATAATATATAACTATGTATTCATTTAGTAGATATATTTATTTAAAAAAACAAGGCATGTCTAAAATGACTCAAACGTATAAGGAGAAGGTAGCGCACATTAACCTGTTGCATACATTTTACGTTCTTCGTCTTCATTAGCCTGTAAACGTCCACTACTGGATATGGACCTCCTTCATTGTAAAGAGGATTTGTCCAAATCATCAAGCTAACAGGTGCATTGACGATCGTAGTATGACGACCGTATACGGATGAGTATTTTACGCCAGACCATCTATAGAAGGCCATAAGAGATTTGTAGTATCATCTCACAATCACCTCTTACGACATCCACGGGGCGAAATTAGATGATGGATTCTTTTACGCGGTCATCAAACAGCAAACGAAATTAACATTAAAATTGAAGTTATACATGGGTTATGGTTGTAGCACGAATGGGACGACTAGACCGGGGAAGGACACGTTCTTACAGAATACTAACGTAAAATAGCAGCTTAGTTCTGCTGAATTTCGAGTGTAGAGAGCCAAAGATCTTTTTACTAGAAACGGGGCCATCTATCTTAGTCTCCATGAGTGACAACTCATTTGAATGTTGGTTGTTAATCAAGGATAGATATAAATATCTATAAGCCACAGCATCTACTTAGCATCAGATAGACTGTTTGCTCGTTTGTCACCCTTATTCTATATTAAAAAAAAACATTTTAACGGTTGTTTCCCGTACAGCATGGTGAGTGCGACGGAGCAGCTTGAACTGTTCGAGCTACACGTGTGCGTGCGGGATTATTGCTTTGCGCGCGAAGACCGGCTCGTCGGTGTTGCCGTCATGCGCCTCGCTGATATCGCCGAACAGGTAAATTAATCATTCATTCATTCCTAAGAGTGTATCACTAGGTTACGTTATATCGCTGAAACAGAGCTTCACTTCGAAACAGAAATGGACCTTCATCCTCCTAAATATACCAGTGTTCTTCAAACAGATTACGTATCCTTTAAAGTCACTCTTATCCTATCTAAGAAGTTAGTTTATTATATACCTAAGTTATTTTGTTATGTGACTGCCTAGTTAGTCTAGTGATCGTAATCGCAATTGCTGATCACTTGGTACCCAATTCATCTGCCAAGAAATTCTCAGTAACAGCCCAAAATCAGAAAGTTGGTAATGTTTCACCCCAGTTCATCGGCAAGCACGTTCCTGATCTCTCTTCTAACATGTCGGATTACCGTGCCATCAGAGTATAAGAATGAGGGGATAAAGAGTTTACCATTACTTGCGTACACACTTGTGCATTTCGATCCTGTCTTAGACAAGGCTAGACTGCAACAACCCAAATGTCGCCGGCCCGGCTCACACTTACACTACACACTCACCTAGTGTCACAAACACAGTTAGGACAACGGATAGGACGCAACGATTCCGCAGACGGGTGCGCCTCACGCCCCTCCACACCGCGTACACACCGTACACCCGCATCCCCGGCCGGTTCTCACCGCCCAGAATATCGAACAAAATGAATTAGCCGTCAAAGGGCCCGCCACCCTTGTTGGGGAAAGGCGGTTACATAACTCGTCAATGAAGCGCAAAATTGTCATAGGTGAACAGCATTGTGAAAGTACCATTGGACAAATGTTTATGATTGTCACAATGCCCCCTTTTTTATAATAATAATAATAATAATAATAATAATCATCTTTATTCAGGCAAATTACACCCATATCCAGTAAAATCAATAAATTTAAAATCAGTCTCCTAAATTTTAGCAATAATTAAATCAATTTCAATACAAAATAACAATTTTAAAATAATAAATCCAGTCAATGTAAATAGGCAGTAATGTCAGTATATAAATAAAATAATGAAATAAAATAACATAAAATTAAAATTAATAAATAAATAACAGAATTACACACATTTATCAGTCTGGAGACGAGATCAATAATTAAAACTTTCTCTGAGGCAACTGTGCTGCAATCAATTAAATTAAAATTAATCTACACAATTAAAGCAATACAATACATAAATCAATGTCAACAAGATAACAATTTTAAAATAATACATCCAGTCAATTTCAATAAGCATTAGTGTCAGTATATAGAATAATTTACGCAAATAAAATAAAATTAATACATAATTAACAAACAAAAAAAAAAATAAGAACACACTTTTATTAGACAGGAGACGAGATTAATCAATACTTTCTCAGAGGCAGCCGGTCTGCGACATGCCTTTCGCAACAATGCCGGATAATATAACAGTCCAACCTTCCTGAGATCATCGCTAAGACAGTGTTGGAGCTGGCCCGCACTCTGCGCACCAGGGACGCGGCCCGCTTGCGCATGGTGGCATTGAAGCAATCGGTGCGCGCATCCGCAAACATACCAGAGGCGCTACAAAACCGAGGCAACCCCATCACCGCCCTAAACGCATTATTGTATTGGACGCGGAGGACGCTGTAACTCTTCCTACTGTAATTATATATTTATAGCTCGCGGCTTGTACGCCCGAGTCCGATGAAGCTGTAAAAGCCAAAAGCCTAACCTCACAAAAACTAGACAAGTGACTAGCTAGTATAAGTTGATACTGTCTGCCATAATCTAAATTTATGTGTTTGTATTTTTTATAAAAAATAAATTTTAATATTACAGGGTTCGTGCGCCTGCTGGCTGCCATTGGGTACGCGTGTTAAAATGGACGAAACTGGTTGGACGATACTTAGAATTTTGTCTCAGAGGCATAGCGATGAAGTTGCAAGAGAGTTTGTTAAGCTTAAGTCGGAAATGCGAGCAGAGGCTCCCAGCGGTAATCAAGGGCCATCGTGAACGTATCAGGAGACATCTCCTGATGAAATGTTCCGCGGTATTCTAGTAATTAAGATTCTAAAGAGACGGTATAAAGAAGCCGGTTGTGATGCTATTATCATAGTTCCGAAAGGCATGAACAATACGTACAACATTAAACTTCGTCTGAGTGATGTGCTTAGTTCGAAGCACTCTATACTTACTACTATCGAAGCAATTAAAACTGAAGTTTATCTTCCAGTACTTCGGTGGTTACCAGTCAGCAATCGTTTTTTAACCGATTTCGTAAACCGGAATTGTTTTGTAAATAAATTACATCGTTAAGTTTTGCGAATAGTTGAACGTTTTGCACAAATTATTGTATAATTTCAAGCTCGGCTGACTGGAAGCGGCCGAACGTCACTACTTTTCTTTAGACATTCAGTAGAAATTCTTTATCACTTCTTATATGTATGAGTTTTTCAATAAACTTACAAATACTTAACAATTTCCGTCTATACTATATTATGTTTGTATAGAAATAATTCTGTTTGTGAATTACAATTTTTACTGAGTGCCTAAAATATGTGAAGTTATCGATAACATGCAAATATCATGTATTGATACTTATATATGGACCAAAGTTTCGTAAATATGGATGCATTACCTAATCCTTAATGTTTAATATTAAATCTGCATAATTATTTATCTAATCGATCATCTAATCGTTATATTTGTACAGTATTTAATATATGGCCTTATGTAAATTATTTCCTCTACATGTTGGGAATACATAATATGCTTCGAGAAATATATAGGAGCATTAATGTTAAACAATTGTCTGGTGAAGTGTGACGAAGTGTTGACAATTTGATTTCTAAACCGCTTGGTATGTATGTTACCCTCGAAATAATCGAAACAGCGCTTGCAAAATGAATGTTTAGAACATTACCATTTGGTCATATATTCAATATAGTCCCATTTCTTATCCCGTTTTGAGTGAACTGCATGTAATTTGTAATCTTTATTGTTTTAGTAATTTAATGGTGTAAATATCAACAAAAAATGTTGTTTAAATGATACGTATAGCACATCTTTACCCTTACTTTAAATACGCTTGTCTTGTAAAACATGAAAATCTCCTACGTCTTTTTGTATATTATTGAAAATTGTGATATTGTTATAAAATTTAAATACATCGTAACTGTCGTGGTGTTTATGAGAAACTGTTTAGCGAATCAAGTTCACGGGTGTTTATTGTTAAACTTGGCTTCAAGGTATAGTTTGACGTTCGGGCGCTGATAGGTACAGTATGTGTCCAAAATGTAATGGAGGCGGTATTTTAACTATATGAAATGTATCAAGAGGATCAGTGCTCAAATGCATTTTTTTATAAATTAATCTATCATTGTAGAAGGTACTGTTCACAAATACGCAGTACGTGATACATTTTTTTGTAAACATAGCTCAATTACAAATACACGGTGTATGGCAATAAATACAAAATTTATAGTCGTGTGTATTTTCAATACCTAGACTTGTAGTGGAAACGTTCTAACCTCGAAAAGTATACGATTTTTACAATATTTTTGCCACAGACCAAATGAACCAGTTTTGATAGTGTTTTAGTACATAGTAATAAGTGAATATTAAATTAATACCAACAGGAGTTGTTATTAAAACAAGTAGGGATCGTTTATTTAAATTTGCACGCTCTTTCTTAGTACTTTAGGTACATTTTGTCACATTTACCGTATTTAATATCATAAAAATCTTAATTTGTGCGCCGTTTCTATTGTGTTTTAGTAGAATTTAGCATTTTTAGTCTTATAATAAAAGTAATAAAACCTACCAAACACAGGAGAGACGCGTGCAATTTTAAATTAGGAGACCTTTAAAACAGTTTTTGCCTTGCTTCAGTTTGACAACTTTTACAACTGTTACAACTGATAAATCGATGTTAAGTGTTCTATTCTACATTAATAAACACGAAATGGTTGAAATCTCAATATATAGAAAATCAATTGATTCACAATTGGACCCGGTAGGTGGCGCTGTTATTGATATCCAGAAATCACCCGTGCGAACCCTGGGCGGATCGCTAGTATCATATAAAAACGAGTAGGAAAGGACTTTTACGTGTGTTGCCCTTATAAAAAATTTAAAATTTCATTGTAGATCGATAAAAATATATGTTTTTAGACTGACATTCGATTACTTTTATGTATGTTTATGTCTCCAAGGTATTGAAAATATACAACGAGTCAAAAGCACATTACATTTCCGACACGGGAGTTAGATTTTTAAATATTAGCATTTATCATGGATTACATATCTGTAGATAGAGAATGTGGTTTGTCTAGTCCAAATCTCAATAATGTATATTTAATAATATTTAATCTTCTTGTCTATTAAAACATTTTTTTAATCGAAACTTTTGTATTTTCCGCGTTGACTGATTCTACTAGTGATGTAGAGGCAGTTTGTTATTTTTTTTTTAGTAGAACTTTTGTTTTATCCTTATTAAAACACTTAAACATAGTTTTAAACTTTAATACGAAAATATAAAAATTCTTTGTCCATTGCAATAATTAACGTTAAATAATTGAACATTTCAAAATTTGTATTTCACGTGTGCGTTACATTTGTTACGGTTTAATTTGGTAAAAGGAAATTGAAGGAATAGATCGCTGTCAGATATTTATTTAATCGATTGTCATCCTGTCATCTTGAAGTGATTAATGTGGAATAGTTTGATTCACACATTTCATTGATGAAAATAATCTCATTGTTGGATTCATCCATTTGTATATATTTACAAATAGTAGGTACGTCCACTGCATCAAGGAAGCATATTCAACAGGCTGGAATCCTGATATATACATAATGGGTCCTATATACACTAAAAAGCTGTAAAACATTTCTTTATCTGATATGTTCTGGCCCTGCGAAAATGTTCGCATTTATGTACATATCACGATTCGTGATAGAGTAAAGGAAAAGCGCACAGTATTCATTCTAATCTCATCTTAATATTATATAACGTTAATAATAAAAGACGTATTAACAAATAAACAATCTTTACCATTTGACAATACTTGGTAATTATTATTACTTTTTAAGTGTAAAATGTGATGATCACATACATCGGCATCTTTGTCTGTTGCGCTCCAGTTTTAGTATTAAATATCACTAAACATTGCATATATCTTTGTATAAATGCATATATGTAAATGTTACATGTTTAAACACATTATTGAATTTAGAATTTTTATGAAAAAAATAAATAAATATCCGTATTTCAAATATATGTTTCGTTTTTATTTATTATTGATAACATACTTTCTCTTCAGTATTTTATATAATAAGGATGACAAACGACCACATAATCCAGTTTAAGTGCATACTATGGCCCATAAACTTCTACATCTATCATCAATCAAGAATCAAAACACAAATCCTTTGTCACCCCTAAGACTAAGATAATTACTAAGTTGGATTGCCTCTTTGCAGTAAAAAAAAGGTCTCACCATGCGAAACACAGCAACAATAATCTGCTGTTGCTCGCTGGTATTCTGTGAGAGCGTACTACGTAGTATATCTAACAGAGCTGCAGGCTCTACCACGTAAATAAATAAAAACTGGCCAAGTGCAGTAGCATCTCTTCGTTTGGAATCCGTTCATATTATTACGAACATTAGCTAAACATCGCAACGAGAAAAGAGAAAAAAAAACATAAAAATATTGTAGTTTTGGTATCCGCCTAATCGTTTCAAAAAAAGTTTAGAACTGACGACTACAGTTTTGAAGATAAAAATAAATAAAAATTTAATTATTGTTCTTAAGTCAGTTAGCTCTAAACAATGATATCATACCCCGCATGATAGGGTAGAGCCATGGTGCAGCTATATTAATGGCATAGTTGTAGCCCGAATAGGTCGACTCGACTGGGGAAAGACCGCGCTCTCACAGAATATCAGCATAAAATAACAACTTAAAGCTGCTGTGTTTCGTATGGTGAATATAGCGAATTTTTACTGGGAACGAAGCATTCCATCTTAGTCCTCACGGGTGACAACGCATCTGTATTTTGATTCGGATAGATGTCTATGGGCCACAGCAACCACTTACCATCAGGTGGAATGTGTGCTCGTTTGTTACCCTTACGCTACAAATAAAACTATTTTCGGCTCCTATTTCATTTATGGGACTCCCCTTCTACTGAAAAATAATTTCTAATTCAATATTTGGTTTTATAACAACATTCTATACCAAATATAAATCCAAATGAGTTACAAATACAAATTATTGATCTGTAACTCACATTCGTGATATACGAAAGGACAGATTGACAGATAGACAGCAATATGACATTAATAGGGCTCCATTTTACTCTTTGCTCACGGAACCCTATTTAGGATGTAACGAAATAATTCTTTACCTCCTTTTCCTCAGTCGATATCTCTATCTAATTCAGAAACTCTCAACAAGACGTAAACACTCCCACACGTGAAGGGGTTACGCTACCGTGCCGTCACGTCAAACTGCAGAGAGAGGGGGGTTATAAAACGTCACCCATTCATAAGTCCAAAATCCAAATACACCATTCCACGTCTAACTACCATTGAGTACGCACGATCAACAAAAACTTTAGCGCGCGCTATTTATACCGAATCTCACGGTCGAAATCTTGTTGGTGTTGTGTGGTATCTGATATAAGATGAGCGGGAACTTTCTCACTATCCCTGGCGACGATCCCATACAAAGACGATCTCGGGTAAGGTTTTTTAATCAACTTGTTTATTATTGTAAAATATAGTTATTTGATAAAATAAATGTTTGCAAAATATTGTTAATTAATAAAATTAAATGTTTATTAATTAACAATATTTTGCAGTAACATCAGTAATAACATTTATTTCTTTACTGTTGACAGCCACCTAAGTATTTGCAGTTACTGTAATTTAATTTTGTTTGTCTTAATTCAACTCAACCCAGTCAAATTTTATGGAAACATCTACAATATGCAAAATTAAGTTAATCTATTACTTTAAAAGATTTAATTTCTACTGAAAATGCAATTATTGAACATTATGTAAAATTTTGAAAATTATTATCAAATAAAATCCCAGTGCTACTTTTTAATCTACAACAAATAAAAGTCAACAAATTTCCAGTCAAGTTCCTAATTTTTTTGTTATTGATAATAATTATTTATTTATATATTCTTATTTTTTTCTAGTATGCTTATTTATTTCAATTAAACTCAAAATTAACCACTAAAATGCATAAACTCATCCATCGAATCTTCATCGCACACTCGGTCCTTCTTCTGCCTAACTGTAAAGAAATAATTGCTAAAACAGTCCAAAAACACGTACTATAAAACACTAATATTACGTAAAAGTGAGTATGTTAGTAATGTTAGTAAGTTGGTATGTGTCTTGTTTGGTACATGTTTTTAAAAAATATCTTTTTATCATTAATCAAAAGGAAATATAATCGTAAACGCTATACGTTTTAGGATATCACGATTTAATCTTAATGGACGATTTACTTAGAAGTCAAAAATATTTAGTTGGGCCATGATACTGCGCATATAATTTATCTCAGCGGACGAATAGAACGGCTTGACCGGGAAAGTAGCACGCTCGCACAGAATACCGGCGTGAAATACTAGCAAAATAATTATTTTGATGATAATTCTATTAATAACATATCATCCCGTCTTAGTTCCAAGGGATGACAACACGTGTATTTTGATTTTTAAACGAGAATAGAACACACCATCCTTTCATCTATCAAGGTTTTTTTTCTTTAACAAATTAATTATTGAGTAAAAAATACATTATTGGTTTTCGGGTGTGTGCGTAGCATTCGATACTCCTGTTTATTTAGAGTTCCATACCTCAAAAGGAAAAAACGGAACCCTTATCACTTTGATGTCCGTCTGTCTGTCTGTCTGTCTGTCAAGACCCTTTTTCTCAGGAACGCGTGGAGGTATCAAGCTGAAATTCATATCAAATACTCAAGTCTATTGTCCCTTGGAGCTGTGAAAAAATCAAACTTTTAAGCCAACGCAATCAAAAGATACAGCCGTTTATGTCGCAAATTTTCGACATTTGCAAGGGAATCAAAACCTACAGGGTACTTCCCGTGAACTCAGAATCTTGATATTTGGTACGAAGCAACGTTTTATAGCACAGATAAAGGAAAAATTGCGAAAAGCAAATTTTTTAGTTACATCATATAATAAAAATATTTTTAATAATTTTAAACTTATATACCTACGGATTTGTTCGGAATCCTCGGTGCGCGAGTCCGACTCGCACTTGGCCGGTTTTTTTTTTCATTCAAATTGAACCTATATCCAGATAGGAGTGGGACTTATTAAACGTATGCTTTACGTGTGATATTAAATTACAAGAGTAATATCAGAAGCAGTATCCCTCAGTAACTAGTAATTTATTCGCTATCGAAGTACGATTCACGATCTAAGGTTCTAAGGCTTTATTAACACTTACCACCAGGAGGGAATGTGGTCAGCAACTGGCTTTTAATAATTTAAAAAAAAACACAATGAGACGGGAAAACTATCACCTACATTATCGCTTATTAGGTAACTAGCTTAGAAGGTGTACCGTATGCTACGATGATGATGGTACCTCACATAACTGTGAATGACATGGTGCAAAAGTGTGATTCATTCACAAGCAAAGTTTCTATAACCACAAAGAGATTCCCAATTAGCGTAATGACTAATGAGTGCGAAACGCAAATTACTTCTTGAAATTGTTTTTGGATGCATGACCAAGTAAATGTCGTCAGAGTCGTTGAACAACGTAATAAAAATATTGCTTACGCCCACAACATTATTACTTGTACTCGTCTTCAGTCAATGAAGAGTTCAATGCTGGGTATATAGACTTCTTTCATAGTGGGCTTTTCCGTAACTGCCAAATTTGGCGGAGCGATTGACGGTCGCAGTACCAGACGACTCGCAACTTTGGCCCTGCTTCTTGTCTCTCTTTTCTGGTGTGGTTTAATAGGTTACACCGTCTTATATTGGAGACCATGTCGTAGCGCCGTAAGCGAATTACCCTCATCCATGTCATGTGAGTGCCGATAAAGCCATGGTATATACATGGTAGAGTCATGTTGCAGCTATATTATGGTTGTAGCACGAATGTGTCTGCCGGGAAAGGACCACGATCTCACAGAATACAGCTGATAGCAGCTCAATTCTACTGTGTTTCGTATGGTGAGTGTTGAGAACCGGCGATGCTTTTTACTGGATACGAGGCATTACATCTTAGTCCTCAAGTATGATAACACATTTGCATTTTGATTCTTAATTGAGAATAGATGTAGATGTCAATGGGCCACAGTATCCACTTACTGTCAGGTGGACTGTGTGCTCGCTTGTCACCCTTATGCTATAAAAAAGAGGCGACAGAGGGAAACTAAAACAAGAAAAGGCCAGCAGCATTTTCCTAATGACTCAATAATAATAAAGAAACTGCGATTTTCAACCCGCCAAGCGTGCCACCTATAGCAAATATCGACATGTGGCGATGTGTGAGGAAGACCTATGTTCAGAAGTGAAATTTAAAGAGCTGTAATGAATGGATGAATGAAATTGAAAAGCAAAAATGTTTTTGGCCTTTCCTTAATATTAGAGATATAACATCCACGGGATATGCTGATGTTTCTTATGCCGCCACCACTCTTGATTATTATAGTCACTGTCCTATTTTATTTATTTGGCACCTCATTGACACTGTGTGATACTCAACAACTAATTGCTTATATTAAAATATAAAAAGCGTTTGAAATTAATTTTGGTAGATGTATAACGAGAAAATGTTTACTTTCGGCAATCATAAATGTATCAAACATATTATTTAATGTTTGTTCTTTTTATTTTTAAAGCGATAGCTTCCGTTTACAAAGGAAGTTGTGAACCGCGCAAAACTTGTTAAATTAAATCAAGAATTATAGTGCTGCAAAATACGCGTCAACACAGCGTCATAAAAACTCTCGTGCTCACCTTGTTTTGGAATGTGATGACGAAGTTAAAAGGCAGATTTCACCTACAATGTGGAGAGTCTACACGACGGCAGCTATTACTGCGCAGGTTGTGTTATAATGCCCAACTGAAGTTTTTAATTAAGGGACTTTAGTTATTTTACCGTGTCAGTCCCATTGCTCCTTCTAACTACGAAATCAAAAACAATTAAAAATATCTTTTATTATTTCCTTTTATTATTTTGATTTGTTACCAGGAAGATGCTGCTTACCTTCCCCTGTTTCATTTCTCTCTATCACCTTTTACGACACCGACCAAATAATCACATCAGATTGCACAAATCGATTAAAGTGCGGCCAACGAAAGAATGCGATCTTGACAGGTCGTGATCGAACGGACGACATAACTTTGAAGTGACGTGGATAAATTTATTTGTCATACTAACGGATAATTCTAAATCTCTAAATCTTTAAAACTGAAAATTAAATTATTAAATTACTTAAACAATATACTAACTAAATTATACACCATTTGAAACAAAGCAAGCATTCTCTCTGAACCACTATCAAATTATATTCCACAATTTAACCCTTTCGGTGTCCCGTGCACTACATATAGGTCATTGCTATTGTCTTACTATGGTGTCTGAAAACCGGACAGTGAAAGTGTTAATGTTAGTTTGAGCGACCAATAGTTTCCTCTCGTGTTGGTGCGTGGTGTTCCTGGGTTTGTTCCCAGCATTAATAAAAAGTTGTTTCGTGAGGAATTTGAATTCGCGACCCCGTAGCGCCGCAGCCGAAAGCTTAGTCACTGCGCTTCTGAGCTGTAAAATGGAAGTACTGAAAAAAATTATAAACCATATAAATAAATCAACTTATCAATATACCTGAATTAGTCCTTGAATTAACAAGCATAAAATAAAAACTAAACGCTAAAAAATCTAACAAAGCATATAACTAGCAAATTCAAGAAACAATGTCAAACAAATATTTGGCAATAGGCCAGTTTCAAGAGGCGTAATAATATGCCCGTCCAATTGTTATAACTGACGATATCTCACAGAATTGTACTTGGATTATTTTTGTTTGAACATTACTAAATATTTCGAATCCTAACTAACCCCTTTTCTTGGCCCAAATGGACGAGAAAAAACACAACACTTTTTGCTGTTGGCTTCTGATAGCTGGCAGTAGCCTTATGTCGTTTACGCCAAACGAAAAATACCTATAATCGCCGGACAAGGCGCCAAAGCCAAGCATGGCGAATAAGTCGAATCAATCCACTAACGAGCGGGCACATGTACAGCTATGGAGTTCAAAAGGCTGGTAACGTAATATACGATACGCAGTAATAGACTTATAGCTTTCTACTTTCAAATTTTGTTAAAGTAACAGCCTATATACGTCCCACCAGGCACTGGCTGGGCACAGGCCTTTATACGTGGTAGAGCCATGCTGCAGCTATATTATTAGTATAGTTGTAGCACGAAAGGGTCGGCTCGACCGGGGAAGGTCCACGCTCTCACAGAATACCAGCATAAAATAGCAGCTTAACGCTGCTGTGTTTCGTATGGTGAGTGTAGAGAACCGGAGACCCTTTTTACTGGCAAAGAGGCATTCCATCTTAGTCCTCACGGGTGACAATGCATCTGCATCTTGAGTCTTTATTGAGGCTAGATTTAGATGTCGATGGGTCACAGTAACCACTTACCATCAGGTGGACTGTGTGCTCGTTTGTCACCCTATCCT